GCAGTCTGTAAAGGCTTCTTTGGATCATTTCTGCAAGTCAGAAATGATACATTTCAGCTCAGAGTGACTGGGGTGTTCTGAAACCTCACATTACCTACTACCTAAATAGCTGCAGGCAGAACTCTTTTGTCTTTCCATGGGTATTTGGCACAGGCTTCACAAACTGTGCCTCACTGCTTAGTTGCAGAACTGAAACAAAGAAGTGGAAAAGTGGCCCCCAACTGTCCAAAAGGTATTACTTTCAATTCTTCAAAATCCCATAGTTTTCTTGAGGTATTTCCTTACTCATTAGGGCTGTTTATAGAAAACCTCAGAAGTACTGCCCTGTCACGTCTCTGCTTTTCTACCTCCGAATAAGGAAGGAAGGAAATGGATACTAATCAATATCAAGCGAAGAAAGTCAGTCATACAGAGCATTATGCACAGTCACTATTGGAGGAATGAACAACTCTCAAACCATTTGAAATTGGATTACTCAGGTGTTATTCCCTTGCAGAGCAAAGCATGTTTGTAAATCTTATTTCTCCACAAGAATAATGAAAATAGTCCTGCCCTATCTGAGAACCATTCAAAATGAAGAAAAAAAATTTATTTCAGACAAGAATAAATGGAAGATTGATGTCTAGGACTGAAGTAAAAAAGAATAGGACCAACATAAAATTAATTTCCATAAGAATTTCAAAATTGTTAATTTTTTCATAGCTTGTCTTCCACCTTGATGAACACGAGGTTTGTCTTAGGAAAGACACTATTCCTGTGTATTGAGAAAAGACTCCAAAGGACTTAATATGTTATATAAAATGGACTTTGAGCTTTCTTCTACTGCATTATTAGCATACACAGATGATTCCTTCTCAGATTTTACAGTCCTGATTATCATTTATCCCTTTCCATATCTGCAGTGAGAAATGTCATAGAGCTCTGAACTGGAGATTCTGGGTGAAGCCACAAGATATCCGTATCACTGTGACTTCTTTGTATGATGTGACCTTTAGAATTATATTGGTAAGACCTCTAAAACCAGAAGTGAACACAAGTGTGTCTCCAGTTTATGAAGATAGATAATGATCTCAAGGAAACAATGGATTGTGTTTGTCAGCACATATCTACAAACTCAGTAGTAATGAAAGATTTGAGAATTTTAATGGGGCTGCATATTTTAAGAGGTCCAAACCAGCTTTGCCTCTTCAGGTTCAAGAATGCCAGAAAATATTTTACTGATGCCAGCCAGGAGAACAAAAGCTTGTTTCTTCATATTGAATTCAAACTTTGTGTCTCAGTAACATGTCCCTGCCAAAAGAAGACCAAGTGATTTTACCTCTTCTTGTGCTATTACCAATTCAGGCAAATGCACTTGTTCTAGAATTCTGAGATTCCTCTGTCCTCCTTGTCATCTTTTCAGAGTGACCTTGGAAAACAAGAGCATAGCAAATGTATCATCTTCAAAGCATCGTTCTAATTCCAATTGTTAATAATTATTGTTCAATAACTTCAAAGTACAAAAAAGGAATGGGATACTTTCTCCTAGAATGCATCTTGGCAGATTTGAAGCTGATTACTTGCAAAGCCATTCTCTTTTTGGAGGGTCATTCAAGAAATTACCAGAATCCTTTTTCTCTCTCTTGGCCTGAAAGCACATCATTGGTACTTACATTCCTGAAATTTGAAGGCAACAACCTCTTCAGAGCCTTTTGGTCTTTCCTTCATTACTTGAGATTTTAGAATACCAGTGTCTAATTGGGATTACCTACTCCGATTCCTTCATAATTACCTTGTCTTGGTTCACATACTAGTCAGGAGATAATGAGAAGATGGAGGTATGAAGACAACTGGCCAGGTTCTTTAAAAAAGACAAACTGAATGCCAAAAAAGGTTCTTAGTTAAAGTTCTAAAGTTCATTTTTCCCTTTGACAGGATACATCTTTTCCATGTACCATGAAGTTCCATACCAGTATCAAGATGATCACCAGTATAGTTATAGGAAGTTGTAACTTTCACCTGGAAATCTTCTTAATGCTCAAGCAAGAAGACATTTCTAAGCAGTTCAGGAGTGATGTTAGTAACGTTCATCAGTTTATCACGAATTCAGGGCAAACCCCAGGGAAAAGCATCAGAGACATCATTTTCTGGAATTAATAGCAGTGTGATCTCTTCTTCCAAGAATGCCACAGAAACTTGTGACCATTACATGTAAAAACTGCAAGAGTGACATTGAAATTTTTTCATCTATACACAACTTCCAGCATGGATGGTGGATATGCTCTCTGTTTTGTGTTTAATTTATATACTTTTTAAATTCACGGTACTAGTTGTTCTTTTCCCATCTTCATCTTCTGTGATTACCAAGATGACTACAACTATTAGTTGGGAATCAGCAACAATAATCTTGACTACTTCTTAAATGAACCAGACTTTTTGTATTTTTTTTCCTGGGCAATGAGAGAGTTTTCTAATTGTTCATCTATGGCAGCTTTTAGGTCAAAAGGCCTTGAGTCTTCCTTTTCCCTGGTTCTATTATGACTTCAGACAGAGTGACAGGGACTTTTCTGAAATCCTCCAAATATGCCATCTTTATTCTGTCTCTTATCTGTATTAGAGTGATGGCGTGATGGGTACTTATACCGGAGAAAGCTAAAATTAGATTGCCTTACAATAATTTTATATTCTCTGCATGTGTACCCACTACTCTGTCAACACCCACTACTTTGGCTACAATTTCTCCAAGCATGGGAAAATCTTTTCTTCATGTGGAGATTCTAAATGGATGGAAAGAGAGAGGAAAATGATCGAAGGGTTTCAAGTTGATTACTGATTCATGTTTTTAAACTTTCTTTTTTTCCCTTCCTGGATATTGCTCTGCTGTTTTCTAACTTGTTTTTTAGTTCTCTTATATTCCCTCAGCTGTGGCAGTATTCCTGGAGCCAAATGTGATTGCACTCAAAATGCCAGCAGTGGAAGCTGGTAAGCAAGTGGGGAAAAATCACCAGAGGAATCTCTGAAGCTTGGGACAAAGGCAGAAAACACATCAGTACTCCACTAACAGAGCAGCAGGTACCCTCATAGAGAAGATAAAATTACAGGTAAGGAAATAATTTATGTTTCTGTTTTGATCTTGTCCAAATGCTTGTTACTCTCCATTCAAAATCCTGGAAAAAATAACAGCATAAACATCTGAAGAAGAAAAAGATGTGATGAATTTAGACTGCTTGATTTTTTAGTGGGGATAATTTGAAGTTCAATCTTACCCAGTTTCTGGAAAAAATATATTAAAAGATGAAAATCTGTTATATCTGTTAGGCAATTTAAAACCTCATCCTAATTGTAAAACAAGGCTGGGAGATTTTGGGGGTTTTTGTTTGGTTGTTTTTTTCATTTTTAGGAAACTGCTTACTACAGGTTTTCCTTGCCAGTCAAGAACAAAAGTAGGCTTTTCTTTAAGTAAATGAGGTCAGATAAAGCCAAAGATAGAGGGACTTGCTCCCATCCCTCTTGCTCCATTTATTTTCTCACAGTTGGAAGGGTAGCATGACTTTATTATTCATCAGTTTCCTCATCTGTAAAAAAGAAGGAGGTTGTTTCTATCTCCCACTTGAGATGACTAAATGGAAAAAGTGATGTAAAAGAGAAGAGAATTACATTTATTTAATTAATTGTCTTGCAGTCTTTTATGCCGCCATGATGCAGTCCCACTATGGAGTTGTGATCATCACAAAAACCTCAAGAGGATATATCCTTGTCTGAACTGCTACAGTTATTATCTGTTACAGAAAGTAAAATATGGTTTAGATTTAAGTCTTCTTTTAATATAAAACTGTTGTGTGTAAATGAAAAATTTTGTGAAGTTAAAACAATTCTACCATAAGCTTAATTTCTTTGCTGATTTACAGAAACACTGAGAAAGTTTAGGTATGTGTGTTATAGTGACATTACCTTTTAGAAGAGAATAATAATGAAGCACATTTGAAAGACTGATGAATTAGATTTAGCCTTGACATAACTGATATGCCTTCATCAGATACACACTGTGATAATTGTCCCAGTGCGTTGTATTTATTAAGTTTATTTTGTAAACTATCAAGTTCAAGGAAATATGAACACAGAGCCATATTAATTAGTTTCATCGTATTTAAATGTGTAGAGATTTTATTAAAGCAGCAAGTTATCGAAGTTACAAGTGTAATCATGTAATGTATGTCTAATGATCTGCAGCATGACTTCGAAGTTAAAAAGCCTAAAGAAAAAAAATAAAAAGGAAAATAATAACCTTTTTTGTAAGCATTATTTAAAGAAATCTAGGTGATCTTTTGAGGTGCTGTGCAACTCTTTCTGAAAGCAATCATTACCAGCAGATCCAAAAACTACCTCAGATGTCTAGATAAGGAGCTGTCTGTCTGAGCTGAATATTGTCTGTTGAAATGTGTCATCTGTTATTTTATGGTGTTTCCTGTAACCTACTAACCATAGAAATGCCTGTAAGTAGAGTTTTCCTCAGAATGCTCACATTTTTCAAACTTGAAAAATTTTGGGGTTTTTGTTTTGTTTTGTTTTTTACTTTACAAATATGTGGGAAGAAGACACTCAAATCTTTAATTTAGATGGAATTGTATTCTGACTTCGTGACTCTTTTCTGTACCACAGGTCTATCCATGGACTTATTTTTAAAGAACAACTCAATTATTGTTTTATCATAGTTAAAGATTGCTGATATACTTGCAAAAATTAGTGTTATCTCTCACTTTCCATAGCATTTTGGTGAAAAATCCATGAGTTTGAATTTGAGTATGTTTAATTTTTTTCCTTTGGGATTACTGTTACTGCCTGGGAGTGGTTTTGAGACTATGCTCTTTCGCTAAGAGAAATTGCTCTGATTCTGAAATATGTTTTTTTCCTTTAATTTTGTACTTTTCCTTGTAAGTTAAAGAAATTTCCATCTATCCCAGTATTGTTTTCTGTAACTAATTCCATAACAGTGTAGTACTTGACATGTGTTTGTTTCTTAGGCAAACGTGTAAAAGTCCTCAAGTCCGAATGGAGAAGTAGAGAAAGGAGGTTTCTGCTGTGCCTGATGACAATTTTTGATTTTTCCACACACACAAAATATTCTGGCTCCACGTTGGAGCACTAGTTGTGATGAATCCTAGTCTTGGTCGGATTCTAAGGAAGGGCCAGAACGTTCGTTGAGGAATAAAGAGTCAAACAACTCCAGAAAATGTGTTCCAGCCCTGGTTTATTACTCACAGAGCAGCAGGTGTGTACAAATACAGGTTTACACAGTATTAACAGGAATTTTTGTATCTTACTCTTCATTGTAGTTGCTTAGTTTGCTGCAGATGCCCAGGAATATTGGCTTATTTGGGCAGGGCTTCAGGAGGGTGGTTGGAAAGACTCTGCATTGCGCTCCTAAGAAGCTTTCAGCATGTCAGTCAGATGCTTCTGGGAGCCTTAAAATATCTTTCTTCACTCACTCGCCTTTCAAAGGTAGACCCAGTTGATGAACTTAAGTTACTCACTGTCATGGGAAAGCAACCGATGCTTTGGAGAAGAGAACAATTAGGAAGGAAGGTACGTCTTGGTACATTCAGTTAGGTGTTTTTCTGTAGTTGAAAACTCAGCATCCCATACTGGATTACTTAAAATTCAGAAAAAGTTGGGAAAGGTGTATTTCCACTATATTCTTAAAATGTACTAGATGTTTGTTTAATCTTAAAACCATGTTTAAGATTAAGAACTCTGACTTTTTTTTCAGGAACATATGCCATGCTCTAAAGTATTTTTCCTTTACTTATTTTTCCAGTCCTAACTTTAAGATTATTTGGAGTGAATGGAAAGCTTAGTTTACATGTGAAAGGTTTCCAAAGCTTTTTAGTTTTAATTACAATTTTTAACACTGGTTGTCTAGATCTTCACTTTAACACCAAAAATCTCCTGCTGAAATTAAGAACAGTGGGAAAACAAGAAATACAGAATTATACTTTAAATGGCATTGTGTGAAATGAATTTTCAACATGTTTATTTCTTTCTAATGGAAGGTCCTAAGCACAAGAATAATCACAAATGCAATTCTGATTAGTCACAGTGCAATAAAAGTATGAAAGAATTAAAAGTTTTAGAGTCTGGTAGTTATAAAACGCATGGGAAACTTTTGAGCCATTTAAGTGTACTGGGAAACATTCTGTTTAATTAATAAAATGAGCTAGAGATGTTTCCTGAAGGATCTAGAATTCTAAATTGCTCAGTTACAGGCTTGGGAACATGTTTAGACTAACACTTTTCATACTGCAGTGCCTATAATAAAGTTAAGGGGAAAATTTAAAGCTCTCGAGTCTTGATATAAAAAGTTAGGTACGGCAAAAGTCTTATGAGCAAGAATGAAACGTCTGAAGACTTGAAAAAATATCTATCAATATGTAGCCTTCTCTGAAGGTAAATGAATCCATATAATTATCATTAAATATCTGTTTTCCAAGTTGCTCATAAATCACTCAAATTTTGCCTTTTAGTCATTAGCCCAAGCCAAATAGTGGTCTGTGATACTGAAACAAGGGCCTGTGTCCTAACTCACTGTTCTCTGCTGCAGTTAATTTATCAGGTATACCCTTAACATTTCTCTGACTTTTGAAATGGTTCCTTGTGCCCCCAGAAACTTAATTATCTTGCATAAACACCCAAACCCACACCTATCTACTGTTAAGTGCATACACGTATAGGAGCCCTATTGCTCCTATAGCTCTTTTTGTCCATTTTTCCCACTTCTTTAGAAAATAAATTACAGGATTCTCAAGCTGTGAGGAGATTGTGAGCCTGTCCTTTGTTAACATTTGCAGAGTACTTTTGAGTATCACTGGTGCAAGGTAGTAATATTAGATCAGAACCACCTTCCAAGCTTACAAGTTTAACTGTTTCAGCGATTAAACATGCACAAAGGTCAATGCAAACTGTCATTTGCTTTCATAAGCCATGTATGAATGATAGTGCATGGCAAACACGCTGTATGAATTTTGAAGTTACAGGAAATAGTGCAATTTCATCTGTTCAAAAGATTCATTTCTGACCTTGACCTCATTCACAAAGGACATGTGGAAAAAATGCATTGGTAGATGTTTATTTCTGGTTGTATGGGCCCTTCTGTTCATGCATTGTAATATTCATATTAGGTTTTCATAACCAAAACAAAGTTTTCTGTGTCATGAAAAAATAGGATTGATATGATTCATACAGCTCTCTTCAAGTCCGTTCCTTATTAGGAATGGTTTGCTAAAGAATCACTTTGTTGATCATGTTTTTTTTTTTTTTTTTTTGTGGTCTGTTTATATACATTATAAGAAAGAATATAAAAATAAGGACACAAAATGGATTGAACTGTACTGCATACAAATAAGGGCTGTCTTGGTATGGCATCTCTGTCTTATCTCCTTGTCTTGGAGGACAATCCATAGCTAAGCATTTCTTCAAGCCATTTCTTAGGCTTCTTTCTCCAAGCATTTATTTAACAGATTCCTGTTGCATTCCCAGTATTTAGTTTTTCTCATCTTGGTCATTAAATATATTTGTGAGACCCTTTTTGCTAGAAATCTCCACACCATTTCTGTTTCCCACAGACCTTTAATATTTTACAAAAGAATGCTAGGGGTGCTGAGTTGTCTTTGTCTCATAAAATTCTACTTAGCTCAAGGTGAGCTATTAATTGCTTTCCATTCTCTGTCTTATGTATCTCAGGGGAAAAAAAAAGGAGAAGGATAGCTTGATGATTCTTGAGTATGTTCAGATGACACTCAAGCTATGACTTACACGAACTTACACAGTTGATGAAACAGTTCTAATTAAAAAGGAAACCCCAGTATTAAGTTCTTTCTGTTTCTTGTGTTTATTTATATTCTTTGGTGAAAACCTGGAACAGAGGGTCCATCATAACTGCTGAGTGATCTGTGGAGGAAAGAAACACTGGCTTAAAAATTTGCCCCCTTCTGTATTTGCATCGATACATAGTTGTGATGACATTATAATAGGCTTCCCCCCAACACTCCTCCTCCGCTAAATTCTGTTGTTTACCGTGCATGATGGAAAAGAGATAGAATTGGAATTGGAAGGGCACCTGTAGAAAGGCAGTTGCTAATTTTCAATTGCTTGACTTTCTGAACTCAAGAATCTGTTTTTAATACGGATTTAACAATAAACATTGAAAAAAACTAAAAGAATTTCCAATCAAAAAAATAGTAATGTACAAACTTGTGTTATGAAATGTTCCAGGACACACTTATTTCAATAACCATATATTGTTATCTATTTTCTTCTAACATTATTAAATAATAATCAAATATGAGCCTCATTTGCATGCATAAATTATTCTGTAGTGAGCAAATAATTAGTGAGACATTTGTTTCTCTAAATAAACAAAAGATTTGTACTACACCTATAAGCTGTGGGGATTTCACAAGTGAGGACGTTTTTCAACCACTGTCAGCAGCACTGGAATGGAGGCTGTCCAGAAAATCTCTTGAGATGGTAGATATTCTAATGCACTGCCTTTTAGGTCTTTTCATCTCTGTTCTGTTCATTCTTACCCTGGCAAATATTTTCTACCCAGAGACTGAATCTCTTTTGAACATTTAGTAGAGCTAAAGTAATGTGGAAAACTTTAGTTGCATTTAATCGTATTTTGTGTTCTAAAATAAAACAAGTGAGCTCATGTACAATTACAGCCAATTTACAGCAGCCACTCACTAATTTAAATTAAAAAGTCTGCAACTACAGAGTAATTATACTTTAATTGCACATTTAGTACAAGAATGTGAGGAGAGTCTAATGCATTGTATTTGTGATATAACAGACATTTGAAAAAATGTATTAGCATAAAGGGAGTAATTATGTTCCAAGAATGAAGAAATTAAATCAGATCAACACCAAGGATGCTAAAGGTTTTTATGTCTTTTTTTTGTGTGTGTGTTGTTAAACAGCGGCAAAGTTAATTTTCCATACCTATTAATTATTAACTGGAAAATTGATTAGACTTGATTTGCAACCATTCAATGTGTTACTGTTCTCTTAAGATTTTAAAGATAAAACACATGCTGCTGTCAGTCCCCCTTTTCCTATAAAGACCTTTGGCACAAAACCTTGCTTCCCAGCCACTCAAACCAAATAGCTTTTACTATATCCAACATTAAGCATTTCTGGGGAATACCATCACTAGATATTAGCTAAAATTTCATTGCTTCTTTATGAAACTGCCTTTAGCATCTGAGAGGTCTATTCTCTCCCCAATGTGTATGGATATATAATGTCCATTAAAGTTAATGTCTGGTCTGTGCTTGCACATAACAAGTATTACCTTCTTACATAGAGGCAAATGTGGACCACTATGTGTGTTACTCAGAGAAGCATTGTTACAGTTAACAGAAACAGAAGTTAACAGAAAAAAAGAAAAGAAAAAAAACCGATGGCAGGCAGAATAATAAAAACTCTGGCAAGGGAAAGCAGTTAAAAACTCCAATCATATAATCGTAAAAAAAGAAGAATATGCAGCTTGACTTCCTGTGCAGTCTGGATAAACAAAATGCCCTTTGTATATGATTAGCCACCTGTTATAGAGCAGAGTTTTGGATCTCTATCTAATTTTTTTACTTCTTTATATCACCTTTTTATTCAGTGTAACAGTGTATGTTGCTTTTATAGGGATATTTTCAACACACAGTTGTAGAGCTAGATGGGGGGGGAGGGGAGCAGATAGCCCTGCAGATTTATTTTACTAAGTTTCTTTGTGACTGAAGAGAACACACTTGCACTTCCAAACAGCCATGTAACTGAGCAGTCATGTATCTGTGAAAACACTCTTTTTGCTAGCTGCAGTTTATCACCTTAGCCCTTGCATTGACAGAGGTAGATGTAATAGAAATAAATCACAGAATGAGGTTGTAAGGGACCTTTGTAAGTCCAACACCCTGCTTGAGCAGAGCCAGTTGCCCAGGACCAGATGGCTTTTGAATATCTTCAAGGATGGAGACTCCACAACCTCCCTGGCAACCTGTGCCAGTGCTCAGTCACCCTCACAATAAAAAAGTGTTTCTTGAGAGGGAACCTCCTGTGTTTCAGTTTGTGCTCACTTCATCGTGTCCTGTCACTGGGCACCACTTGAAAAGAGCTTGGCTCCATCTTCTTTGCATCGTCCCTTCAGGTATTTGTACAGGTATCCCCCTGACCCTCTTCTGCAGTCTGAGCAGTCCCAGCTCTCTCAGACTTTCCTCATATGAATATGTTCCAGACCCTGTTGGCCTTAGTGGCCATTTACTAGACTCTCTCCAGTAGCTCTATGTCTGTCTTGTACTGGGGAGTCAAAAACTGGACACACTGCTGCAGGGGTGGCCTCTCACTGAGCAGAGGTGAAGGATCACCTCCCTCGACCTGTTGACAATCCTTTGTCTAATGCAGCCCAGGATACCATTAGCCTTCTCTGCAGCAAGGGCACATTGCAGCATCACAGTCAACTTGGACTCTCAGAAGTCAGCTGGCACCCTCTATTTTTAATAGCAAAGGTCTACTCTGTGGGAATGTAGGCAGAACAGAGAATTCAGCTGGGTTCCAATGACAGTCCCTATCCAGTTGTGCCTCTGAGGAAACCGTTCTCTGATTCTGATTTTATTTTGGTCTACTCTGTTTGGAAAAGTCAGAAGCTTTGACCCTACATTTGCATGACCTCTTTGGGAATCTCAAATTCTTTGATCTGTCTTCAGTGTGCTTTGCATCAGTTGATTTACCACAGGTTTTTCCTCTCTCTCTGTCTCCCTGCTTACCTACATATATATCTCAAGTGAAGCTAATAAAAATCTACCTGTGGATAGGATCAGGAGATGTGTATTTTACATTATGTAGCTCAGTGGCACCTAGGTCCATGAATAGAATTCCAGCATGTCACAATAAAACAAAAAACTAACAAACAAGAAGATGCTGTGTCAGCCTTTTGAGCTTTGGTGCAGGGCATAGAATATGTTGCCTGACTTTTAAACTAATCCTTCATTATTTTTTCAGGCAATCTTCTACTATAGAAGGGGCCACATGAGACTGTTTCCAACAGCAAGAATGAAACAAAATAAGAGCACTGTAATAAATAAACCCATGTATGATAAAAATCACAAAGCACAATTCTATTATGACCTTAAGTGCAGTTCCTGTAAACATCTTGGTGGAGAAGGCAAACTGAAGTAATGAACTCCTTGAACAGTCCTTTTAATATTCTGCTCTACGTTCGTGCTCTTCAGAGCCAACGAGACCTGTATGCAAACAGTTTTGCTGAGGGCAAAAGAATGTTTCATCATGAAGGAGCATGACCCTTCTCTCTGTGATCAAAATGAAAAGCATATGCCCCTTGATGTTATTAAGTGGTATTGTGACCATTCCAATGGGTTGTTTCTCAAGAGTTGGGATGTTGTCCTCTGACACAATTTGATATTAAATGTTACATGATCATTAATTGTATCTACTGACACAGCAGAAATATTCCTCAAAGTTGTTCCTTTGATATGACAGATTTTTTTTTTCTTTTAATGTTTAAAATCCAAATCAGACACAGGGAAAATCCAATTACTATGAAATGCTTTGTCTCCCACTCTTTCTCTGTGGTCCTTCTGTTCCACTCTGTTTCATGTTAGGTGGGGTGAAACCACTCCAAGTGAACTCCTTGGTAGTTATTTTATACCTTTTGAATAACAGGATATATCTCTCTCTTGTTTATGCGTGCATGATTTTTGTCCTGTTTCTCCACTAAGTGATTATTGCCTGCTAAGATGCATTTAGCTCCTAACAGGACATTGCCTTTTCCAATCTAAATTATTCTATGATTCTATGTTTTGTGTTTCAAAGTAGCATAAAAAGAATGGAGGAATACATCTCCAGTATCAGTCACTGTTATGCTCACTGGCAAACATTTTAAAAGCATAGTTGGTACCATACAGAAGTTTTAACATTGAAAAGGATGAACAGAATACAGAAATTTTCCTTGAAATCAATGCTTTTGACATTTGTGGGTTGGTAATTTGTGACCTTTGGATTTTTTTTATTATATTTATAAGTATGGTCACATTTCAATTTCTCCTTGTCAAGTCCAATTCCAACAAAGCACTTAAACACACAATTTGACCTGGGGAGCAATCCCATCTAATACCATTGGGAATTGTTCACTTATTTAAAACCAATGGAAAGAGCTTTGCTGGACAGAGAGCTTATATTTCAGTCTCAGTTTCCAGTATTTAGGAAGTAGATTCTCTATGTACAGTTTTGATTTTCTTATTTTCTTTTTCTTTACAGGTAACCCGATAGCTAAAGACAAATCAAGTCAGTCTCAAGGCTGATAACATTAAATACAACACATAGGAATTTCATTCCTCCAGGCAATCCTTGAAGTAAAATTTTATACTGCTGGGGTGTATCCTTCAAAATCAATTGTTTCATTGAGAACCTGGCTTGTAATCAGCAACAGCCTTGAGATCAAAACTACTGGAAAGTTATTCTGAACTTCTGTGTCACAAAGATTTCAACTGATTGAACTGTGTACACTTGTAAAATTGCACTTGCTGAGGAATTTGCAGCTGTAATCACAAGAGTTGATATTCAAAGGTTGCAGAAACGCATCAATCTTTTGGATTCTCCATTGCAGACCGGTGGCTTTTCATCTTGATGAACTCAACCTCCAAAATGTAATGGTTCCTTGTCTCTAAAATGATCCCTGGCCCACCATTCAGATTCCTGGTGGAACTGCACAGTGCTTTAATTAAATTTCTGTTGCAGAAATTGTCCTCTGGCATGGCGCAGTTTTAGACATTTTTATTTGTATTCTAATCTTGGAATTCTCAAAGGTACATATTTCAACATCTTGAAGTTGCTTTTGTTATAGGAATGGAAATATATATCCATTGTTAATAATTATTGTTGACAAGTAATAGTTATCTGAATGCATCAGTCATATTAGAATGTACAGTCAGGTTGACATGTTTTGCTAAGGCTAACCAACTACTGCAGCTCTGGCAGTGGTCAAAACTCAATTAACACTTCCATTATAAGGCATTTTATACCTTTAAGATACACATTTCCATTTAGTTTGAAGGAGATGGGTGTTCCTGATATGTACTTTACTTTCCCAACCTTCAATTCATTGAAATTCATGATAAGCCGTCAATGACAGTATTTCATCCCTTTTTATAAAGGTAGGCAGGGGTGTAAATGAGTTTTGCAATTATGAAAATGGATGGTAATCATTCAGATTTTTTGTCTTTTTATTAAAAATAAAATCTCTTGCTTGAACCTAAGTACTGTTGGATGCTTATGTAGATGTCTGCTCAGTCTGTTTGCTATAAAGGAAAAAAGTCCTAGTGCCCGCCCAGATTTACAGTTTGTGGGTGTTTTGCTTGCTTACAGTCATCCAGTTCAGATCTGATCCTTACCAAAATCACACTTACTTTTTTAGGTTTTGTTTCAGTAGCAATTTTTGAACTTTGTGATGTGCTGTTACATAAAAAAAATCATCAATATTTAAAGGCCTTAAGCATCTATGAGATTTTTTCTAAGTTATTACAGAATGTATAATTTTATACTCCATTTAATGTATATTGTACCATCTGTAATATTGATACAACAGAAATTTGGCAATTCCTTTTAGTGACACTGCATAAGCATGCTGACTGGAGAGGCTGAGGGAGTTCTGACTGTATGCTTTGGTGCATTGAAATGAAAACCACACACTCTTTATGGTAGTCAAAAATATATAGAGGCAACCTTATTTAAAAGTCCTGTGTGGTTACCATACTCCCAGAAAAAGAAGGAAATTATTTTATCATTGCAAACCATTGACATGGCTAGATGGTTATATATTAAGCTCCATGATGAATGAACACCCTGGAGTGCTCTGCCTGTCACAGTAGCCCCTGCTGTTCCAAAACCATTTCATTACCTCTGCTGTATTATTGCACAGGAGAGCTTAAATAAAATAAATGACTGTTGGGAATAAAACTGAGAAGTATATTCTGTCATTCTGCTAAGAAATAATAAAAAATGTTGGCAGGGAAAGATATTATTTTCTGATTAAAATTTAATTAGGATAAACTGTTTGTAGCAGCAACTAGGTATCTCAGTATTTTAGGATGGATTTTAATATTGTATAGATTCATGCTAACAGGTGCAGGACAGAAGGTAGCATCTTAAAGAGATTGTCTGGGACAGTGCAAAGTGTAAATGTGCTTTTTTGTAAAATCTGAATATGGCCTCTCTTTAGTCAAAAACCTACAACATGCTTCTCAATATTTGTTTTCTTTGTTTCTTTGTTCTTAAACCAACACTGAAAATACTGTATTATATACAAGTGTAGCACATGCATATCAATAAGTGAAAATAAATGGATTTTCAAATATACTGAATAGATGATCTGCAGTAGATTAATGTTGTGAATATTCATAGCAAGTGAATAAAATTGTAATATAAAATAGAGTTCCATGTATGGATGTGCGCTTTGGAGATCTGTTTATTCATGGAGCAAAATATTTTTTTTTTTAGTGAATAAGAATCTCAAGGGTTGAATTAATTTTGCATTTCTTCAGTAGAGCTTGAAATATCTCCTACAACTTTGAAAGGTCCTTTCCTAAAGGAAACTCATATCTAGCACAACTGTTCTAGCATCGCCGTGGGAAATTCTGGTGGGCATACTGTTGTTTTCAGGCCAGACTGGATAAAAATATGTTTTTTTTCTTCACGAAGTGAGAATCTTGAAAAATTCTCATTTAGACCTTTTCAGTAGCAACGGACCATGGTAGACATTCCTGAAAAGGTAATATTTCAGGTTAATTTGTTGAACTGTTTAAAAGGAAAAAAAAAAAAAAAGCAGTTTAATATTGAACTTCGCTTGTGCATCTCAAAGCAAGCTGGGAACCACAGTTCAGCTGTCCATAGTGCCTGCTTTAGCACTCCCTTTGAAAATGGAGTACAGGTAATGAGATCAGTTATGGGCACACGTGTTGTAGGCATGTAAAGATCAATCCTGCTTCAATTACTCCTTTATTCCTTATATCCTACTTCCTAGATTATTTGATATACCCATCTTAATCTGATTACAAAGACTGCCAGGCATTATGATCAGAGGGAAATCCACGTTACCCTCTGAATTCAGTAATCATCAATAACTCTGAACAGCAGAATATGGGTTCCTATCCTGCAGTTCCATGTGGCAATGCATTGACAGGGAAAGAAAACACTGCTTTGTTCAAACCTTTCAAAAGGAAATATTGGATCAGTTCAACAAAATATAAAGGAAATCCTGATATGAGTCTTAATGAAAAAAAAATTCCAAATCGGATCTAATAAACTAAAATAGAGCTTAAACCCCCCCCCCCAAACATTCAAGGCTATTTCTTGCTTGTATACATCTTACTGGTCATAAGTGTGTGCTAACCTTTGAAAGAGCACTTCTGCAGATACCACTGTTACTACCCTTAAGTCTACCTATTATCCTGTATCCTTTAAATTTTCCTATTTATCCTATATCTTTTAAATCTTGGCTCCTCCAGCTCTGCTCAAGAACATTGCTGGAGCAGTGTTTCAGTGCTTTACCAAGCCAATGCAGCTCTGTTTTTTTATTATCTATATGCTTTAAAGTTGGAGACAGAATGCATCAGATAGTTTTGTTTTGAATTTAAAAATCTACTATAAAGCATGTTATTTTGTTAGGTTTCCTAAACATATATGCAGGGGTTTTGCTCATTATAATTGTAAAGCTGGCTTTTATAGTTTCCAGGTAATGCTTGGATGTCTATAACAACAAAACAGAAAGGTGTGATTGGCATTCTTTTTCTGCTGATATGCTGCCTTCTCCTTCATGTCTTAAATTTTACACATCTATTGTTAGCCAAGATACTGGCAAGCAAAAGGAACACAGTTTTGGTTTGTAAGAGAAGTGCTGCCTTCATCTCTAGTTTCTTTTTGCCAATAGTTAGATAGCTGTGTATTGAACATGTCACACCTGAACAATCTGATGGTATTAAATGATTTCTCATAGTTTCACTGGTATTAAATTGAATAATAAGGATCACCTAATGACTTTGTAAGTCTTTATAATGCAGTTTGTACCCTGAAATATTTTTCTGTTTATTCTCTTCTAGAATGAGAAAAGATTCCCAAGTTACATCATTGATTTTGTTTCTGTAAGAGGTTATTTAACTTTCTGATACCACTTTACAGTCAGTCATTGAAAATACTTTAGAAAAACTGTCTTCCATGCCTGTTCTATATTCATCTGCACTGTGATGTTTTAGTGCAGTGATTACAAGAGATCATACATGAAAAGGCTGTATTTCCCACAACCTTGTTTGACAGGTGATGACAAATGTTCCCAACATCTCTTAATCCAAAACTATCTGAAGCCCATCTGGCCGGAGGACCACTGACAGTGACAGCTGGAAACTATTGTATAAGGGAATGAGTCTTCTTTCTCAGACTGCTGTTCGTGGGATCCAAGCTAGGCAAAACCATTGTAGTATGGTTTCATCACCAGCCATGTAGGTTCTGGGGATGTGGATCCTGCATGGGAGCACTGGGGTACAGTCAGCATCCCAAACCTGGGGATGTGGTGGTGACAGCTGGTCCTCAAACCTGTTCTCTATAGTGGTGGAAAGGTCTGTCTCGTGTGTCTCTGGGATTTGCTCCAAAGCCAGACCACGGAAATGCAGTGGTGGTTTCAGTGGGGTTTGGATAAGGCCTTCAGCTGCAGTTGAGTGTTCGGCATTTCTCTCAGAAAATTCTGAATGAGCAAGTTCATTAAAGTTCACATGCCTGTCCCTATTCAGGTTATGGTTAAAGAACCTTCCCTCTACTTTCATTTCCTCCTTGCTACTACACAAGTAATGTTGTGTGGCAATGGGAAGTGAAATCCAGTTATTTCTCGATAATAAATTTTCTTGATTAAATATCACTAATCACATCAATATTAGTCATGACTGAAAGACTTGAAATATATCTGGTTTTCAGCTCTGAAAACCAGTTTATTGCCCAACTAAGTTCAAAAAATAGTTTGTGTAATAGAAATATTATTGCCCATATGTAACCCTAACTGTAAAAGTTCTATATTAGCTCTTTAAATTATGTTTATATTCATAACTGTAAAATTCTGTTTCAGTCCTCTATAACAGCAGGGCCATTCTTTTTTTTTTTTTTTTTTTTTTTTTCCTATAACACTGAGGTAACCTAAAACTCTGTAGTTTGGGATTTATGGCTTTGTTTTCACTGCTTCAACTGCACAGCTGGGAAAGGAGCATGTAAAAATACTTATGTTACTCACATTGCTGAGACATTATTCTTGAATATGATGAATAGGTGAAGTTGCAAGTTTACCCCATATCAGCATGACAGTATGACAAAAACTGAACTTGAATTTTCCAGCCTTATGTCTTATTATTTAGATCTGATATCCAGAATTCACAAAATGTACACTAGTCTGCTGATCAAGGATGCCAATTAAACTCAGACACCAGAATGAAAAGAGTAGGCTTATTTACTGTTAATAATTAAAGGATATGAGTAATACAGAAAACAAGCAATAAGGAAAATACAGAATAGTACACTTAATTATTACTACATACAGTTAATTATAGAACATAAGAACAAGCATGGTAATAACACCTAATCATTACTACATGATGAGGAGAACAGTGATTAAGAAAGATCCATCACCACTTGCATACGTTATCAACATCCAGCCCCGCAGTGGCTGGGCAGCCCCGGTTACAGCGAGGGTTTGGGGAGCCTGTCCCGGCAAGGGGGAAATCCTACGCGGTGCGTCCCCCATAGGTGAGGCTGCCAAAGTCGCTGTGAGCGGGTCCAGCCTCATATACCAGAGATCGACCAGCCAGAATGAGTTGCAGTTCTCTTTGAGACATCTGCTTTCATTCTCCTGTTGGATTCCACCCAAAGCCTGGCCAGGGCTCAGCAAGGGGAAACCAAGGGAGTTTCTAACAAGGTCAAACACTTGGGTTCTCAGCTTTGAACAAGGCTAAACAGGGAAGTTGGATACATTCTCAGAACATTTCATCCTCACCACTGTTTACATTTTGTCTAAGCTACATCTTTCACTAGTGAGCTTACATATTTCATTAATGATCACATACTAATTAATAAATGGTAATGGCAATACAGATGTTACTAATTAGCAGATACTAATAATGGATAATGTTTGGTTGTGAGGTTCATCTAGAAGTCAGCTTTGTTTCAGGGCCTATTATTCAGGGCCTAGCACTACAATTGTTTAGTCGATATGTCTCCATATCAAGGAGGTTATTTAATCTGTTTCTCTTTATGATTAATTCTGGATGCCTTGCCAATATTTGGGTGTAGATAATGTAATCCTTCCTATTACTGATTTAGAGTTTGAGTCTTGTTGGTTTTCTTTTTACTTTTCTTTGGTCATTTTCTCTTTTCCTGGGATCCAGTTAGTTCTTAAGAAACTTCAGTAGTGATGAGAAATTTTTTTTTGATAAATAGTGGCCTGGAACTGAACACAGGCTCTTCATAGTTCTTGGAGAGAAGGGAAAGAGAGAGATGATGTGTCTCTTTCATTTTCTCTTAAAATGGCTTCCAGTATAAACTATTCTGTCTGGATAGAAGCATTTTTTCCTAACTATAAATGGTCTGTGTTTCAATATGCTCTCTGATCGTAAAGCTGATGAAATGGTCCTCTCTGTGTGGCAGATTACCTCAGCAGAATTTACAAATGGAAGATGATGATTTTGCTAATGTCCATGGGCAGGTAGACAGAATTTGGTCCCAGATGCTCTGCCTAATGTTCATGGCAAAAGCGACTCAAAAACAATGCGTCCATATGCCGTAATTGCTGGAATTATTTCTCAGGCATATTCCCTTGTCATCCCTCATATGTAGAACTCATTAGATTCCTAGTGGGAGAACATATGGAGAAGAGAGATGATGGAAAACATTGTAAAACAGATTGTGTATTTAAATTTATATTATAAAAGACCTCTGTGCACAGTCAAACTTAGTGGAGAAAGTTCAAACTCTTTCTTGCCACTTCATAAGGAAATCAACATTTATGGAGCTGTTAGTGCATTTGAAGACACTTGCAGATGATGGGTTAAAGCCTGGCTTTAGGGATACTAGTGGCAATTCTGCTGCTAATTTGAAGTCAACTCTGTATTTCCTACATTATTTTTACAAATATTTAGTTAAATTGTAGCTGTGTAAGATCTTTTTTGCTAATAGGAATGACCAGAGGTCAAAGTTCCACCCATCCAAATCTGTCAGCAGGATCAGGCCTTTGGCTGTGGGTTTGTGATTTCAGTGTCAACACAATGACTTTATGTTTCACAAAGAAAAATGATGAAGTTTCTTTCATCCAGCTCAGCTGACTGATGGATGGGGATTATATCCAGTGCAGAGCTCTTTTAATGACTACTGAATATTAATTATTAATTTATCTATCTTTCTTG